TTGAATATTTCTAATGAAAAGAGGCAAGAAGTGAAGGAACTAATTAAACCGAAAAATAGACCCAGATCGATGTCACGAATCTTTACATCAAAGTGATCACGTGCAGCAAATACATCCGCGTGATTATTTTTGTCTTGCTCTTGCTCATTTCTTCATTTTCTTCCTTACTAGCATACAATGTTTTCATTTTGGTTTTTTGTAACTTTTTTATTTGTAATCAGAAGCCTATTTCGAAGGAGAGTTCTTTGTATGCAATACTTTGAATCGGTGTATATACACGCAACACATTTACTTTTCCCATTTTCTAGTGACTATGCAACAAACTAGAAATTCTATCTAGTTTTAGCTCTAAAAGTCAAATGCCTGTGTAGGTCCATTGCTAATGATTTCCTAAAGCTAGATAAAAGGGAATAGTAATATATATCTGAAAAAGGGCTAGTTACTGGCCGCAAAGCGAGATTTTGTAATTTGTATTAATTGTATTTACCAATTTGCCCATGGCAGGTGAACACGCAAATAAGTCCCCTTCGTGGCGCAACTAACTTTTTAGGAATTATGTTCAACAAGATACGTTTTGATGCAGAAGTAGACGCACGCTTTTATATGATTCTCGAAATTATCCCTTTGGAAACTGAAAATGATTTGCGTTTGGGTTCGCACAAGACATGTTTCTTTTCGAGCTCCTGCGCGCTGAAGGCGCGCGAGCGAAGCTCCATGTCTAACAAAAATTGGTAACCCATCAAGACGAGAAAATTTGGTTATGACATTATTATAAGGGCGAGCGAGCGAACGTCCGTCCGTTCGTCCGTTCGTACAGACGGAAAAATGTATTACTTCTTTCGGAGACGAGGAAGATAAGCTTCATTTGACGTCATATGACGTCATAACCAAGAAAACTGGTATCAACTTGTACAGCAAGCTCAAGGCTATCTAATCAATTTCAATTCATTTTGCTGTGCCTTAACAGAAAGAAAACCCAAGAGGGGGGTCTATCCCCTCCCCCCTTGTACCTCGGTGGGGGTATGAGTTAGCTTGTACGTCCGAGGGTTAAGAATAGACCCGAGGCTGAGATTTTCAAAAGAATATAATTTTGTGTGTCGAAAATTTGTAAATATGATAAATTTAAATGTATAAAATCCTTACCGTCTAAAATTCTTCACTTCTCTAAACGTCAAAACGGGCCAAAAGGCAACAATAAAAGCACAAGCCGTATGTTCGATGCTAATAACATTTCTGCAAGACCTTACGTGCGTGATATCAGGCTTAAATGCCCGCAGGCTGGCTCCGAAATTACTTTAAAACCATCCAGACACAAATTATATTCGATAATGGCAATGTCACACGCTATAATCTAAGAATATTTACAAAAATATTTTCAGCCAAAAATGGGCAAAAAAGTTAGAATATTCAGCCTCGGCTAGAAAAACAATATTGTTATAAAAGAGTGTATTAACATACTCCAAAAAGAAAGCTTCTCATCATAAATTAATACAGAAAGGTCAATTGGGGTTTTCTGTCGCTGTTTTGCATTACAGTATAATTTTTACCTTCCTAAGAAAATATGATGTCTGTTATCAAACCATTCGATAGATTGAGTATTTGTTTATTTCACTAAGCGATTACCGTTTTCTTGGCCATTTCTATTACTGGCAAAGCTACCAGCAACATTTAAAATGGAGCACTAATTTTGGCGTTAATTACTCGACCACTCTGCGTGAAAAGCGACACACGAAACTCCAAGCAGCTTGCAGGTGTACCATCTATCAGCATGATAAGCGACCTATGAAAGGCATTTGTCTCTCGCTTGTATTCTTTCCTATTTAACCCGTCTGAAATGTCGAAATTTGAGACAGCTTTTTTGATTTTGTACAAAGACACAAGTGAAGTTTATGTCCCAGCTGGTTTCACTTTAATTAGTTATAACAAATTCATCATGTTCATGACACAGGTATAAATTTGTTTTCTAATTTCTTGTTTACTCACCAAAAGGTCTGGAAGCGGATTGTTCTTCAATACTACCTTAGCTTACGAAGGAAAGTCCTAGGATCTTCATTGGGTTGTATTCTTACCGATTTAACTCGTCTGAAACTGTCGATATTTGAGACAGCTTTT